TTTTGGGATGCTTTATTCGTGAATAAATTGTCCACTGTATTTATCATTATATTATTTTTATTATTATTATTAGTAATATTTATGTCATTATTGAAAAATATAATACATAATTTGGATTAAAGTATCTCTTTATCTGGATATCTAAAGAGATATCCAGATATCTATCTGGATATCTCTTTATTCAATGTATTCTATGTGTCTTGAGCATTGATGAATTAGTAACATTGATGACTCGACAGCACTGATGTAGCATTGATCAATTGCCCATTTCGTTAATTTAGCCATCTCGTTAATTGGATATCTCACTATTTAGCCCATTTCGTTAATGCAGTTATCGCTGCAATGCAGCTATCGCTTTAATGTAGTTTTCTTTCTAATGTGACTATCGCTCTAATATGGCTATCGCTCTAATGTAGCTATCGTGTTCATTGGGTTGTAACAGGCGATCTAACAGCCCTTAAACTCATTACCACACCCCATTACACTCGCTAATTGGTGCTCCACCTACACCACCAACGATCACACGTAACGAGGCTGAACAGTTTGGGCACACCAAACCTGCTTAATACCAAGATTAATTAGTATTATTATAATGATAGTAATCATAGTAAATAACCCAACTATCATATTTAAAATGAATTGCAAGTGGCTATGTTCCCCCGAGTCCCCAGTCCTGGACCCTTGGCAAGTCGTGGAACCAGTGATAATAACTGTGAAAATCCTCCTTTGTTATATTGGTACAGAGGCACGACATGAGGTCAATCATTGGGTCTATACGTGGCTCCCAAACAGTCAGGTATATATAAAATTATCACATTGCAGATGTATAAACAGTTTTTATTGTAATTTTTAAATTTAATTTTAAATTTTTGTGAGACTCTGGCTCGCGTTGGCAGCTAGGGGATAACAACTGTTGTCTTTAAATAACCCACTATAGATGTGCAGGCGATGAGTCACAATAACGTGGCTGAAGTATGTTGACCAGACCACACACTAGAAGTTGAAGGGACGACGACGTTTCGGTCCGTCCTGGACCATTCTCAAGTTCAAGAATCGACTTGAGAATGGTCCAGGACGGACCGAAACGTCGTCGTCCCTTCAACTTCTAGTGTGTGGTCTGGTCAACCACTATAGATGTATTAAATTGATTCATTGACTATCTCAACCTCTCTCTGCTCTCTATCTCAACCTCTCTCTGCTCTCTATCTCAACCTCTCTCTGCTCTCTATCTCACCCTCAAGAGTGCTGTCCTTAACAGATGAATGTCGTACTCGAACTTGTGTGGATTATCAAACATAAAATTCTCCACAGGTAAATTCAGGTAAATTACATTTTCTCACTCAATGATAATGTAATCCACAGAAATATTCGAGGCTAAAAATATTATTTTTTAAATGCAGTTTGTTAGAAAGGGTATCAATATCGGCTGGGAATCGAACCGGGACCCTCATAACTACGACTCCCGAGCGCTGTACTCACCTAGTTGTGCCTGCGGGGGTTGAGTTTCGGCTCTTTGGTCCCGCCTCTCAACTGTTAATCAACTGGTGTACAGATTCCTGAGCCTATTAGGCTCTATCATACCTACATTTGAAACTGTGTATGAAGTCAGCCTCCACCACATCACTGCCTAGTGCATTTAATTAATCCGTGTGTGTGTGTGTGTGTGTGGTGTGTGTGTGTGTGTGTGTGTGTGTGTGTGTGTGTGTGTGTGTGTGTGTTACTAGTTGGGTTGTGCTTTTGCGGGGGTTGAGCTTTGCTCTTTCGGCCCGCCTCTCAACTGTCAATCAACTGTTTACTAACTACCTTTTTTTTTTCCACACCACACACACCTCAGGAAGCAGCCCGTGACAGCTGACTAACTCCCAGGTACCTATTTACTGCTAGGTAACAGGGGCACTTAGGGTGAAAGAAACTGCCCATTTGTTTCTGCCTCGTGCGGGAATCGAACCCGCGCCACAGAATTACGAGTCCTGCGCGCTATCCACCAGGCTACGAGGCCCGTGTGTGTGTGTGTGTGTGTGTGTACCTTCTCACTGACTACATCGCATTTTTACCAGACTCGAAAAACACCTAAAAATCACAGGAGTGTTAGGAAAATTAAACCACCGTAATACTGACGTTTTTAAGCATCAGCCTCGACAGTTTATGCACGAGACCTGGTCCACAGGAGACCTGGACCACAACAGACCTGGACCACAACAGACCTGGACCACAGGAGACCACGGAGACCTCGCAGAAGGGAGACACTACGGGAGACCGCCAGGAGATTCAGGGCGGTGGATTTACCGCAACGTTTGAGAGGTTAAGATCAAAGGGAAAAGTTTGAGATGAGCGGAGAGGCTTAGGCACGATCGGTGATGGGGGGTGAATGGGAGGGGGAGGGTTATGGGGGTAGTGCTAATGGGGAGGGGGAGAAGGAGAATGAGAAGAGCTGTGGTAGTGTAAATTCACATTGTTTCTCATCCTACGCTCCGGACAAGCTGACCCAACTAGCTATAACCCGAAAATGCAAATCAACACACACTAAATTTCCTCCCAAAGCCGATGTAAAACAAAGGTAATATATCTTCTATATCTGTATAAACACCTGACTATTCCTGAGGAAATACGTGTCTCAACATGTGACTTTCTACTCCCTTCTTCCTTGCTGTCTAATCTTTATCTTATCTTTATCCTATCTTCCCCCACTTCCTTCTACATCAGTGTCACCATCTCTTCATTTCTCTTCCCTGCATCTTACTCTCTATCCTTTCCTTACTATCATCCGCCTTCTCTTATTCTCCATCTTCCTCCTCCTCCCCAGCGAGCCAGAGAGGAGAGTGAATTATGGGGTAGGAACCCGGGGCGGCTTCCCCCGTCATATGTGTCGATAAAGCAACTGTGGAGGTCCGTGTTGAGCATTGAAGGAGTCCTGCAGTGCGTCGCTCGAGCCCGGAGGGTGTGGTTGGTGTGTGTGTGTGTGTGTGTGTGGGTGTGGGGTGTGGGGGTGTGTGTGGGTGTGTGTGTGTTTGTGTCTTATCTTCAGTTTACATCTGTCTGTGCTTCTGGCAATGCTTCCCTGTTTATTATGATCTCTTCCGTCTTTCCCTATCTCTCCTCTCCCCTACTATCCATCTTCGTACCATAAATTCCCCTCTCTCTTTGTCTCTCTCTCTCTCTCTCTCTCTCTCTCTCTCTCTCTCTCTCTCTCTCTCTCTCTCTCTCTCTCTCTCTCTCTCTCTACTGAAGCTTTCAGCCTCATCCTCCACATTTTCTTTCAACAAACCACTTTTTATAAGCAATTTGCACCCTATTCCAAAAACAAATAAGGATCAGTCTCTTGAACGGCCTTAAAAAAAACGTTCAACAGTGAAACATTTCTGAACCGGAAATTCTCCCCAGAGTCCTTACTGTTAAATGAATGTTTATGTGAACCCCCGCTAGGAGGCGGCGGGGATATATATATATATCCCTCGTGAATGTGAATATCTGTTTGTATACAAATACTGACCATTAACCTTTATCTAGCGGTTGTTTTGGGGTCAATAACTCACATCAAAAAGCCCGGGCAACACACGGGGTAATTCACTTCTGACGACAGATTTGCTGAGGTCGGTTGATTCAAGGGAGAGCGGGCCATTAAACACAGGCTGGGAACACTCATGATGCATATGGGATGCCAACAGCCTCCTCACAGAAAACTGGATATGGGACAAGATGGTAAACTGTATGATATCACATAATTGAACAATCATGTGATAATAAAAAAGGGGGGAAATTACTGAAGTAACCAAAAAATAGTAAATTCAATGGAAAAAATAATTCATACATAAAATTATGAAATGAAAACATAATGAATAATAAATAATTTAAATCACCAGGTAGCGAGAAACAAAACAGATGTTTCCCATATATTAAATTATGCCAAAAAAATACAAATAAAAAACAGAAAGAAATTACATAATTTGTTTAAATGAACAAATAAAAGAGTGAGCAAATAAAACATTAAAACTCTAAAGTTTTGACAAATATCCAAAATTAACAGAAAACGGAATACACAAAAACACAAAGCCGGCAACATCACTCCTTGTTATATTGTGATGAAGAAATTTCAACACAAAAGAAATATTATCAGGACTAAAAACATTATATATTATATATATATATATATATATATTATATATATATATATATATATATATATATATATATATATATATATATATATATATATATCAAGATAATTAGCATGAAACACTCTAAATAAACAAAGAAATTCAAATGACATGAAAATGAAAACATAAGAGAAAAATAACGCAAAATTAAATCTAACGAGACACGAAAAATAAGAACAAACGACAGGAAATAATGCACAATTAAACAAAGAAAGCGAGAAAGAAAGAGAGAAAGTGTAAAAAAAATAAAGAAAGCACTCAAGAAGACCCCCCCCCCCCCAACAAGAGGACCTTAAGACCAGACTCCACTTAAAATGATTATTATTTTTTCTTCAGAAACATATAACCTTTACTTATATGGGACGAGAGAGAGAGAGAGAGAGAGAGACGCTGTTAATGTTATGTTTTGCTTAAGAGGAACTGAAGGCTCTTTACTGATATGGTCGGACTCAACGACTCAAGCAGAAGCAGAAAACGACAGCAGAAGCAGAAAGGACAGCAACAGAAGCTGCAGGAAAAGCAGAAACCACAGTAGAATCAACAAAAGCAAAAACAGCAGGAATGGTAAGATTATCAACAAAAGCAGATGTATCAGCAGTAACAAAAGCAGCTGGAAGAGAACAAAACAGCAGCAGGAAAAGCAGCAGAAGTAGGTGCATCAACAACAGCAATAGCTCCTGTAGCAGCAGAGGCAGCAGCAGCAGCAGCTTCAACATAAGAGGCAGCAGAGGCAGCAGCAGCAGCTTCAACATAAGAGGCAGCAGAGGCAGCAGCTTCAACATAAGAGGCAGCAGAGGCAGCAGCAGCAGCATCTTCAACATAAGAGGCAGCAGCAGCAGCTTCAACATAAGAGGCAGCAGAGGCAGCAGCAGCAGCTTCAACATAAGAGGCAGCAGAGGCAGCAGCAGCAGCAGCTTCAACATAAGAGGCAGCAGAGGCAGCAGAGGCAGCAGCAGCAGCAGCTTCAACATAAGAGGCAGCAGAGGCAGCAGCAGCAGCAGCTTCAACATAAGAGGCAGCAGAGGCAGCAGCAGCAGCAGCTTCAACATAAGAGGCAGCAGAGGCAGCAGCAGCAGCAGCTTCAACATAAGAGGCAGCAGAAACAGCAGACACAAAACTCATGGTTAATTCCTATGTTCCTCAGTAATTATGACCGCCTGTTGGGAAATTTTCGAGATAATTCTTGTGTAGTAATCAAGAATAGTTATGGGAATGTTGTTGTTGTTGTTGTTGAAGCAGTAGTTGTTGTTGCAACTGTTGTTCTTATGGTTGTAGTTGTTATTGTGGCTGTTGTAGTTGTATATTGTTGTAAATTGTTGTTATAATCCAAATCTATTGTATCTCACCCCAGTCCCTCACTTGTTTCTCGTCTACTTCTCTCTCTCTCTCCCCTCTCTCTCCACCTCTATTTTGTCCCCCCCCCTTCCCCTCCCCCCCTCCCCCCACCAATATACCCCATCCAACCCCCCCCCATTCCTACGAGGTCACAAACAGCCGCTAAGAACCTCATTAAACGCTGATAATTAGATAACTGTATTTTCATTTCTACAGCCTTTATGTTCGGTTAGGGAGTTCGATTTATTGACAGACGGAGAGGAATGGGGTAATGAAGGAGATGAATGGGCAACGAAAGGAGGAATTGGTGAGGATCAGGAGAGAGAGAGAGGGGGAGGGACACGATAAGTATAGAGGGAGAGAAGGGGGGAAGGGGGAAGTAATGAAAAGCATAGGAGAAGGAAAGCAGAGGGTTGAAGACGATGAGTCACAATAACGTGGCTAAAGTAAGTTGACCAGACCACGCACTAGAAGGTGAAGGGACGGCGATGTTTCGGTCCGTTCGGGACCATTCTCCAGTCGATTGTGAGACAATCGACAATCAAGTCACAATCGACTTGAGAATGGTCCAGGACGGACCGAAACGTCGTGGTCCCTTCACCTTCTAGTGTGTGGTCTGGTCAACAGAGGGTTGAAAATGAGAAGAGTAAGCATCAAGCCAGAGATAGGAGATGAATTGAGAAACAAAACTAAGGTGAAAGCGTCAAGCCATTACGACTATATAGCACTTGGAAGGGGATCAGGATAAGGATCTGCGTGGGACAGAAGGGAAGAGGGGGCAAGGGGGAAGGAATGGTGCCCAATCACTTGGTTAGGTTAGTCGGGTTGCTTCCTGGGGGTGGAGGCCTGGTCGAGGACCGGGCCGCGGGGACACTAATAAGCCCCGAAATCATCTCAAGATAACATCTCAAGATAGACGGTCGAGGATTGAACGCCGACCTGCATGAAGCGAGATCGTCGCTCCCTACTCGTCCACTCACACCATGATGATTTAGGTGTAAGTGAGAGATACAGAGGAATCACCAGTTGAGCTGTTAAGTGTGCAGACTGGCACAACTAGCGGCTAGTGCCAGTTGGCCCTCTCACTAACCAACCCTCAAACAACCCCCCCCCCCCCCCCCCGTCACATCCCAAATCCTTATCCTGACCCCTTCCCAGTGCTATATAGTCGTAATGGCTTGGCGCTTTCCCTTGACAATCCTCCCTCCCCCTCCAACCCTCCACCCCTCTCTCCCTCAATTCGTTGCTTTTTTTTTAGCGACGTCGACCAATCCGTTAACAATGCGACGCATTTGTTGACGCCGCACTCTAATATTGACGTTTTTTCTATGCATCGGCCTCGACAGGTTAGGTGGGATGTACGGGTTCGTACGTTTCTGGTTGGGGCAAAACAGTTCCATATTTGACGGAGTGGCGCATCGAGTGAGAACGACGGGGAAGGGGGGGGGGGGAGAGGGAGGGGGGGAGGAGGTTCAATTTTCAGTAATGTACAAATCTATATCATTTGGATGAAACTGACAACATTTGGGTGAAACTGACATCATTTGGATGAAACTGACAACATTTGGGTGAAACTGACATCATTTGGGTGAAACTGACATCATTTGGGTGAAACTGACAACATTTGGGTGAAACTGACATCATTTGGGTGAAACTGACATCATTTGGGTGAAACTGACAACATTTGGGTGAAACTGACATCATTTGGGTGAAACTGACATCATTTGGGTGAAACTGACAACATTTGGGTGAAACTGACATCATTTGGGTGAAACTGACAACATTTGGGTGAAACTGACATCATTTGGGTGAAACTGACAACATTTGGGTGAAACTGACATCATTTGGGTGAAACTGACATCATTTGGATGAAACTGACATCATTTGGGTGAAACTGACATCATTTGGATGAAACTGACATCATTTGGGTGAAACTGACATCATTTGGGTGAAACTGACATCATTTGGGTGAAACTGACATCATTTGGATGAAACTGACATCATTTGGGTGAAACTGACATCATTTGGGTGAAACTGACATCATTTGGATGAAACTGACATCATTTGGGTGAAACTGACAACATTTGGGTGAAACTGACATCATTTGGATGAAACTGACATCATTTGGATGAAACTGACATCATTTGGGTGAAACTGACATCATTTGGGTGAAACTGACATAATTTGGATGAAACTGACATCATTTGGGTGAAACTGACATCATTTGGGTGAAACTGACATCATTTGGATGAAACTGACATCATTTGGGTGAAACTGACATCATTTGGGTGAAACTGACATCATTTGGATGAAACTGACATCATTTGGGTGAAACTGACAACATTTGGGTGAAACTGACATCATTTGGGTGAAACTGACATCATTTGGGTGAAACTGACATCATTTGGGTGAAACTGACATCATTTGGGTGAAACTGACATCATTTGGATGAAACTGACATTATTCAAGTGAAATTACATCATCTGGATGAAACATATTAAACTAAGCCTTGAGTGTTAGTTTAATATGGAAAGGAATGAAATTATGAAACTCTATAGTTCACAAGATGGGTGGAAGAAAGAAAGAAAGAAAGAAAGAAAGAAAGAAAGAAAGAAAGAAAGAATGAAAGAAAGAAAGAAAGGAAGGTAGGGAGGTTTGGGAAGTTAGTACATGTTTTAAAAAGAGCTTTGAAAATGTGATTGCAATGACAAAGCCTAGACAAATACCCTCCACGTATAGTCCCGACAGGACACCGACCCCCCCCCTCCCTCCCCCTTTCCCACACACGTCTCGACACGGTCCCGACGAAGTATCGACACCGTCCCGCCACCCTCCCGTCGACACCGTCCCGCCACCCTCCCGTCGACACCGTCCCGACACCCTCCCGTCGACACCGTCCCGCCAATCGCTTCCGGCACCGGAGAATGTTCTCGTCCTGTCTACGCTTGTCACCCAAAACGTTCACAGCCACGTATATTTTGCTTTTAAACGCTCGCTGGAACACTCCACTGCAGCGACCATCTGTGAACGAGGATATCTCTTGGCGTCGGTCGAGCCACAACGCCTCAAACACTTCCCGGAAACACCGGTGTTACCGGAGCACCCCCTTACACCCCGCTGGGAGAATGGGTGTAGAGAAAGGAGTGGACCTTTTCGAAGAAGAGATATAATTATGAGAAAACAAACTGTAAGGGCGTTTGAGTGTGGAGGAGAAGGAAGGTGGAAGAGAAATAATAATGTCGTCAGCCACCATAACAAAACACAGGACGAGGATTTCTTGGGGGTTTCCACTAAAGAAACATGCGGAGGAGACAATCTTTGCAGGTCAGTAAAAATAGAAGACATGCTAAAGATTCACCTGAGAAAACTTTTAACGTTATGGAAGGAGGAAAATTTAATTTTGAAAATATACAAATTGTTTGTTTGGAGGAAAGTGTTTGGAAAAGGGATAATTTGATTGTTGCCGCCGAAGGCGGTTGAGTTTATTGTACACCTCATACTCATCCTGTGAGCGGTAGCGCAAAAAGGATTAGAGAGAGAGAGCACAAAAGAACTTTATAAGACCTCACCGGAGATTGCTACATTAACCATTACATCTATCCTGAACACCTTATAATCTCAGCTAGATTTTTGTTTTTATTTCAGTAGTTATGCATTTATATATAATTATTATACATTAAGGTAGGTCTTTATTGCTAACACTTAACTGTCTTAGCCATGAGAGTATTTACAGCGAGAAGTCAGTCACAAACCTGTCGACTACTCTACTGACAAATTAAAAAATTACTGAAAGAAAACAAAACTTAGAAAGAGAAAAAGGACTTGAAAAGTATTTTTTTTTTACTTTTTTGTAAAAAGGGTTATCTTGAGGTTATCTTGAGATGATTTCGGGGCTTTTTAGTGTCCCCGCGGCCCGGTCCTCGACCAGGCCTCCACCCACAGGAAGCAGCCCGTGACAGCTGACTAACACCCAGGTACCTATTTTACTGCTAGGTAACAGGGGCATAGGGTGAAAGAAACTCTGCCCATTGTTTCTCGCCGGCGCCTGGGATCGAACCCAGGACCACAGGATCACAAGTCCAGTGTGCTGTCCGCTCGGCCGCCCGGCTCCCATAGATCCTCCCACCGGGTTACATAGACGAAGACACAACAAATCTCCGAGGTGTAGCTCTACAGACTAGGTGTAAAGTTAGTCAAAGATATACTACGAACAAATTCACTGGCAGCACAGATGGAGGAGGTAAATAAAAGGTTAGAAAGTGTGTGCAGAATCCGATGAAAACCAGCAAGCAAGTAGAAAAAGAAACAATCAAGTGTTTAACGAAGACAGTCATGAACAGGAACAACAGGAATGAAGTCAGAAACGGTAATGAACAGTCAGGAACAGACATTAGACAGATAATTAAAAAAACGTCTGATATTTAACAGTAAATTAGTACAGAACACAGTTGATAATAAGACCATAATAATTATTGTGATAATAGACCATAAGGAAAATAAAACAGAATCTATGATAGACAGAGCTGCAGAAGAGGCAAAGATCACTGATACAATTATCAGGTTAGGAGAAGGACTCACAACAAAAGATAATGCTGGTGAATATAGAAGAATAGGCAAATTTTAAATGGGGGAAATCGCCTCTTTAAGGTTCTCTAAACGGAATAAAACATGACAAAAATGTTTAGAAATGACAGAAAAGGACAAAATTATGAGGATGGAAACTGGAATCATTAAGAAAAGACCTTTAAAAAAGAAGATTGAAAAACTGAAAAGGAAACCTCACTGAA